CTCGCCCGGAAGCACAGAATAAAAACTTCTCTTTAACCTCACTTTTGTGCTTCCTCTTCTCCTTACCGTGACCTTACACGCACAGTCCGTATCTACTTCTGAGGGAAAGAAATGCAATAAAACACAAAACCAGGAAACAAGCCAAAGTAGATACTTAAACAATCCTAAAGATGAAGAACTATTTCTGAGAAGTAAACAAATTATTTCAGCAAAGAATATAGTAATTTTTTTCAAATGTCCAAATATGCAAATAGTAACTTTCTCTACTCCCTAAGGGTTTCTTTGATTTCTGAAATTCGGAGTTTCAGTTCATACAACCATTGAAGAAACCCTAGGTTTTCCTCTAGAGAGGAAATAAGGACAGACGTGGCCAGATCCAAACACGCGGGGGACCCACTGAATCCCACGGCCCCGAGGTTGAGCCCTCCGTGTTCCCGCACGGAAAACTCTCTTCTGCGGCACCGAGCCGGAAGCAGATGTGTCTTCCAACCCCGTTTAGTGGCCCTCCTGTTCGGGTGGGAGCTTTAGTCGCCTGCTTCCCTGGCAGGTGCCCCGCGGGTTCCGGTCCCAGGTCCGAGGCGCTGCCCCGGCTCTCCCGCGCCCCCTCGGTCTCCCCGCCTCCTGTCTCCGGGTCGCCGCCGCCGCTTCCTGCGCGTTCCCTGCCCGGCGGCCGCAGCCGCTTTCTGGACGCCGAGCAGCGGGGGCGGACCTGCGTCTCTGTGCGCGGGAACAGGTAATCTCGCGGGACCCCTCGCGGAGCAAATGTGATGTTGTGAGCCCCGCAGCGTCCCCGTCACCGGGGAGTTTGTGACCAATGCAGAGTTAGCCTGACTGTAAACGGCCTCATTTGCGGACACACAGTCAAGTAAATACAGGCAGATTGCTTGAATGCTACCTTTGCTGTTACCAGTTCTGTTCCCTGTGTGACAGGCTCCAGCAGGCGTGAAGCTCTGCCTTGTACTGATGTCGCCTGTCACACCGTCTCTGCTGTGTTGGTCGCCTCGGGTCTTGCTGAGTCCACACGACAGCTGCGATGTCCACGAGGCATAGGGTGCTGTTTCAGTGACAGTTAATAAGCCTAACAGGAAGAACTCTGTTCTCTAGTTGCAATAATTCTATGTTCAGTAGTAAATATGCGCAAGGGGCCTGTAGCTACCATCTTGGCCTACGCAGAAACACAACAAACACTTGTACACAATTCCTATGGACAGTGCTGCTATCCTGCTAAACAACAGGTGGTGATCCGTGTATATCTGCGTTGCCAGTGGCATACATCAGAAGAAACAAGAAAACTATATAGTTTCCCCCATAGATTGGTGGTTTGGCGTGGGAGGTCATTTTAAATAGTGATAAACCAGGGACGTTTAACATCTGTAATTAAAGGACTAGATCCAGAAAATCAGACTGATTAAAAAGGACGATGACTCAAGTGAAGATTCAGAAAATTAGATTTTTTTTTTTTTTTTTTTTTTAGCAACATACAGGTTTTATGAGGCTGGTAGCATGTGGTGGGGGTGGAGAGAGGATTTCAGTTGGGAAACTTGAGAGTGTAAATTCCTGAGGCGAGCCCAGCATGCTCGGTCCTTTGATGACAGTCAGAGCTGATTGAAGTAGAGGAAACACTGTGTGTGTGTGTGTGTGGGGGGGACGTCTGTATGAGACGCATTGCAGGGCGCAATGGTGGCACACTGTTTAGCACCAGGCTTGCTGAGCACTCTGGGCTCTGTGAGGCCGGTGCACAGCCCCTGACGGGGCATTAAGCAGTGTCTGTGCTGCAGAGAGAATTTGAAATAAGAACCATGATTGAGAGATGTCAGACAGGCGCTGGTTACAAACAATGAAGGAAGACAGTGACAGTGGGTGGCCCTAGACATGCAAATTGGTTGTGACTCAGGAATAGAGTGTAGTGATAGATTGTGGATGCAGGTGGTTCAAAGGGCATGGTTGATGGAAAGCTCATGTCTGGAGTTATGCTACAGATCAGTGAACACTGCCCATGCGTGAATGTCAGTGTGGAGAACCCCGGGGATCCTGTTAAAATGCCCATTTGGAGTCAGCAGTTTGGGGGCGGGGCTTGAGATTCTACTGAAGAAGCTCCTAGTTATGCTGGAAATCACATGTCTAGAAATAAAGATGTGAATTGAAATTAGAGAGTGTTGCCAGAGAGGATAATAACGGGAAGAGTCATGCTGACAGGGGAGACACTGGTTTAAGGAGAGAATTTACACTGAGACCAAGAAATGAAAGAATCATGGAACAGGGGATGGTGGGAAGAAATGGGATGGAGGTGGGAGATGGGGGCTTAGAGAAAAGTTCATGATTCTCTGATTTACATCTCAAGTTTGGAAGATGTAGTGTTCAGAAATATTCCCTGATATCTAAAAACGCTTAGGGAATGTTGGTGTCATGCTTTGAGAATAAAGGTGGGTTGGTGGGAGGCAAGGAGAAGAAAAAAAAAATCTTAATTGCAAAAGCCCCAGGAAGATGCAGATGACATAGATACTGATCACATACTGATGTAAGGAAGGATACTTGGATCACAAAGATACTTAACACATACAATGTTACAAATGTAATGAAAAGTATTTTTAAAAGCACAGTAGAGGAGTTTTCACTGCATGTAACTAGAAATGAATTTACCATCTTCCTAAAAATTCATGGTCTTAATGTCACAGTGTATGTGTTGCTATGAAAGGTACACGATTAGGGAGTTGAAGCCACAACTTGAACATTGGACCCCCAGCTACCTGGAGAAAATCAGGGCCAAGTTTTCCAAGCTGACCAGGCCTGGTTCTCAGGCCCTAAGATGAGTGAATTTCTCCATCTGTAATCTTGTTGCAGAAACAAGAACCCCTTGGAGCTGCATGAAGAAGGAATCTGCCTTCAGTGCGGGTGCCCTCCGGGTGGAGCGTGGCCCTGGGCCTGGGAGGACGCCACACACCTGTCACTCCTGCTGATTCACCACTGTCTCCTCTCCATCCCTCCTCCATTTCAGGTCTGCAGTGTGGGGCAGGGAGAACTCCTCCAGTCCAGGCAGCTGGGGACCTGGGGCACCTGTCGTCCGTATCTGTAAATGCCAAGGAAGGGTTTCAACTGCTCTGACTGGTGTGCGGACCAATTCATCAGCCTCCCAACTGCCCACTGCTCTGCTTCCACTGCCCCCCCCCCTCCACACACCTTTCTGAAGGCTCCTTGGGCTCAGAGTCGATGCCAGAAGGTGGAGCCAGGCAATGGTGAGTTGTACGGAAAGCTGGGTTCCTCTTGCTGTAAGTGGGTGGAACCATATGTGAATTGTTGGGGAACAATTGTATGATGTGGGACTGTGGTTCCTCAATGAAGAAAACAAGGTGGCCCAAGTGGGCCAAGGAAGCGGGCCCTGGAGGCGTCCTGAGACCTCGCTGTGCTGTCACTGGGCCCTTCTCGATGTGTGTGGCTTTTCAAGATTGGGATTCTTGGGGTCATGTGACTCTTAGCTGACACCGTGGGGCATTCCCAGTCCCACCCTGGGCCTTGGTGCTCCGTGTTGAAGGACAGGGTCTCTGGACCAGAGCCTGAGGATGGAGCGTTTCTGGCTGTGGAGGTTGACACCTGGCCCTCCAGGCCTGTCCTTGTTCCGTGTCTCTTACCAGTTTTCTTGACTTCCCCCAGACACTGGAACATTCTGTGCAGTACTAAAACTCCATCTCCATCTCTGACGTGTGCATTAGAAAAGGAAGGAGAGATTTTGTAGGGGAAGGCCCTGACTGTTTATGGGGTTCTGCGTGGTGTTGATGCTCTCCTGATGTCACCAACGTTATGAAATTGGGGACAGAGACTCTAGCTATAGCCTGCCTAGAGTCCGCAGACCCTTCTTTTCCTTCCTTCAGTGGAAATTGCTTTTGCCTCGAGGCTTTCAGTAGTGTGGAAAACACGAATCCCTAATCTATGTCCTTGTCCTCCACCCATGTCTGTTGTCATTGTTGTCAGGTGCCATCAAGTCGGCTTCGATTCATAGTGACCCCGTGTACAACGGGATGAAACGCTGCCCAGTCGGATGCCGTCCTCACAGTCCTCGCTATACCTGAGCCCATTTTTGCAGCTGGTGTCAATCCATCTTGTTGAAGGCCTTCCCCTTTTTCCCTGGCCTTCCACTCTGCCAAGCTTGATGTCCTTCTCCAAGGAATGGTCCCTTCTGACAACATAAATAAAGTAGGTGAGGCTGAGTCTGGCCATTCTCACTTCCAAGGGGCAATCCGGCTACACTTCTTCCAGGACAGATTTGTTTGTTCTTCTGGTGGTCCACGGTGTTTTCAGTATTCTTCACCAACACAACTCAAAAGCACCAACTCTTCCTTGGTCTTCCTTGTTCATTGTCCAGCTCTCACATGCATATGAGGTGATTAAAAATACCTGGCTTGGGTTAGATGCACCTTAGTCTTCTAAGAGACATCTTGGCTCTTCAACACTTGAAAGAGGGCTTTTGCAGCTGATCTGTCCGGTGCAATATAACATTGTGATATCTTCTTTTTCTTTGACATCATGATTTCTTGACTGCTGCTTCCATTGGTGTTGATTGTGAATCCAAGTAATATGAAATCTTTGATGACTTCAATCTTTTTTCCATTTGTTGTGATATTGCTTATTGGTCCAATTGTGAGGATGTTTGTTTTCTTTATGTGGAGATGTAGGCTGGCGGTTCAAACCCACCAGCCACTCCTTGGAAGGAAGGTTGGGCAATCTACTTCCGTAGCGATACCGCCTCGGAAACCCAAGGAGGGGTCGCTATGAGTCGAGGCTGACTCGATGGCACATAACAACAACAACGTGCTGAGATGTATTCCATACTGTAGATTGTAGTCTGTGATCTTCATTAATAAGCGCTTCAAGTTATCTCTACTATCAGCAAGATTTTGTTGTCTGCATATGATATATTGTTAATGAGTCTTCTTCCAAACCTGATGCCGTGTTCTTCTTCATACAGTCCAGCTTCTCAGATGATTTGCTCAGCATTTATATTGAATGTGTGTGGTGAAAGGATACAACCCTGATGCACAGCCTTCCTGATTTTAAACCGTGAAGCATCCTCTCGTTCTGTTTGAACGACGGCCTTCTGGTCCATGTACAGCTTCTTCATGAGCACAATTAAGTTTTCTGGAATTCCCATTACTCTCAATGTTATCTGTAATTTGTTATGGTCCACAGAGTCCAATGCTTTGGCATAGTCACTACAACACAAGTAAACATCTTTCTGGTAGTCTTTGCTTTCAGCCAAGATCTGTCTGACATCAGCAGTGATATCCCTTGTTCCACGTCCTCTTCTGAATCCAAATTCCATTTCTGGAAGTTCTCTGTCAATATACTGCTCCAACCATTTTTGAATTATCTTCAGCAAGATTTTACTTGCATGTGATCTTAATGATTTTGTTCAATAATTTCCACATTCTGTGGAATTACTTTTCTTTGGAATGATACAAATATGGACTCTTCCAGTCAGTTGGCCAGGTAGCGGTCTTCTAAATTTCTTGGCATAGATAAGTGAATGCCTAGCATAGCATCCGTTTGTTAAAACATCTCAATGGGTATTCTGTCAATTCCTGGAGCCTTGTTTTTGACCAATTCCTTCAATGTAGCTTCGGCTTCTTCCTTTGATTCCATTGGTTCTTGATCGTGATATAGATGAATGTAGACCAATTCTTTCTGGTACAGTGTCTCTGTGTATTTCTTCCGTCTTCTTTTGATGTATCCAGCATCATT